AATATATAAATATATTTTTACTAAATATATATGATATAATTAATATATTGTTAATAAATAATTATAATATTTATATGTGATGTTTATATATTATGTATTAAATATACTATATAATGTATAGCATATAATTGATAATGATAATGGGAATAATTAATAATAATAGTAATAATAATAATGATGATGCTAATAATAATAATGATGTTTCTCCCGGCCAGTTCTCCCAACCCAGCTCGTACCTCCCCCTCTGGCAGGAAAGAGAAACAAGCACCTTGTTTTCACCAGCAGGAGCTGGAGATCCGATTGCTCCTGGTTTCTGGAAATGTTTAAAAGAAACCTCAATGTGGAGCTCAGGGACATGACTTAAGCACTGAAAGGGTAAATCAGGCCATGGAAAGGGGGTTTAGGTTATGGTTGGACTTGATCTCCAAGGTCCCTTCCAACCAGGAGGATTCTGTGATTCTCTGGGGACACCAGTGATCATTCACAGCAAGATTCTCACCATATCATGTCCTGCCAGCAATAATTGTTACCACATGATAAGATCACTCCTGCCATGATGGGGGAAAGCAAAAGCACACAGTGACTTGGGTTGGGTGGGAAAATTGTTGCTCATCACCCAAAATACACCTGAGCACCCAGCAATGGTCTGGCAACCCAGCGTGGGGCAGAGGAGCACCCCAAAGCCTGCAGCTGCCTGAAACCCCAGGGGTGAGGGCAGGGAGCAGCAGGTGTCACTGCCTGTCCCACCAACATCACAGACCAAGGGTCGGCCCCCAAGTCCTGTGACATTCACCAGGAAATCCGGCTGCCAAGAGCAGGGTTTTTCCACCTCCCCCTGGAATGGCAGCTCCCAAAGTGCCCTCTCTGCTGACATCCTGTGGAGGCAGAGCCCCAGCACCGGCTCACACAGTTCCCACACTTCCAAACCTGTGTGTTTGGATGTACAGACAGGACCTCACAGCAAATTCTGGGGATTAGGACAAATTAATTGACTCTTTTTTTTTTTTTCCTCCTCTGCTGGGCCGAGTGACCTGAATCCTCAGGTGCACCGAGGCTTGTTTGTCCTATGGAGCATCAGATGGGCCTGAGGAATCCTATGGAGACACCCTGGCTGCTGAGAAACTGTCCTGAGGGGACACATGTGGGCAATAAAGCTCCTTACCTGGCAGAGTGGGGCTCCAGGGGCACGTTCTGCTGCCCCTCATACTGCTGCACCAGGGCCCGGACACTCCAGCAAGGGTTTTCAATCTCCTCATCCATGCTGCTGTTTCTGGAGGTAACAACCATAAAATGAGGGAAGCCCCACCTGGGTAGGAGCTTCTTGCCTCCAAGGAAGGAGGGAGGAAAGGTAAGGAGGGCAGGTAAGGAGGAGGGGACAGGTAGAAAACTGCCAATTCAGGAAGTTCTCCCATCAGGGAGATCCATCCCTTCCTGGGGAGAGGGAAACACGGGCAAGCAGGAGCTCCCCTTTCAGACCAGCCCCTAGTTCTGTGACTGGAAATCTCCAAGGGCTCTGGCCAGGCAAGGAGAAGAGGAGGATTTGCAAACAGCACCAAGCCTGGCTCTCCTGAAGAGCTCCTGGCACGAGGGCTTTGCAGGAGAAACCTCTAACATTCAACTTTTCAACAAATTCCACCATTTCAACCTCATTTCCCAGCTGCTTCCTGGGCATTCCCTTCAGCAGAGATAATCCTGGCAAAGGACCTTCAGCTGTGCAAGATAAACCCCCCATGGACCATCTGACTGCCAGCTAAAGGTCAGCGCTATTATCACAACCCACACAGCACCTTTTTGCAAGGGTGAGAGGTGCTTTTTGGAGCTGCACATCCCTTCTGTGTATGGATCATCTCCCTTCATCATCCCAGAATTCCCCAGTGAGCCACTGGGCTGCCCCAGCTGGTAAGCAAGCCTTATACTGGGGTGAGCAGCAGGGCAGGAGACAGACAGGGCTGGTGCAACAGGCTCAGTGCCTCCATCCTGGGAGTCACTGCTCCCAGTTCTGGAACCAGCCCCTCTAGTTAAGCATTTATTCCTGTTTCACTTGACATGCCCATGACTCCCAGGAGGCAGCACCAGGAAGGGGCACTGGGATCAGCAGGGAATCAGGAAAATGAGGCAGCAGAGTCTCCTCTGGCTTGGCCACAAAGAGCTGCTCTTTTCCAGTCAGATAAGAGGCCCAGCAGTTATTTTGCTGTAAAACCTGAAGAACCTGGGACACCTGCAGTCCCCAACACGAGGCAGCCAGACTAGGTCAGTGCTCCCCTGGGTTAGGGGGGGATATCCACTTATTTCATTTATCTATTATCTCTTGAGGCTCCCAAGAGGCAGCAGTGGGCTGTTTCCATCTGTCTGCAAACAGCAGAGCTTCCTTACTCCAGGAATTGTCAGGGGAAAGAGAATCACAGAATGCCAGGTTGGAAGGGACCTCAAGGATCATCTGACCCAACCTTTTTAAGTGACATCCCAGCACCTGTCGGGCTGAGTCCTGAAACTGTCCAATGTAGGGGAATCCACCACTTCCCTTGGGAAGTTATTCCCATGTCCCCCTCTTCCCAGGGTCCCTCAGGGGGTCATTCCCACATCCCACTGTTCCCAGGGTCCCTCAGGAGGTCATTCCCACATCCTGCTGTCCCCAGGGTCCCTCAGAAGGTCATTCCCATGTTCCCGGGGTCCCTCAGGAGGTCCTTCCCACATCCCACTCTTCCCAGGATCCCTCAGGAGGTCATTCCCACATCCTGCTGTCCCCAGGGTCCCTCAGAAGGTCATTCCCACATCCCACTGTCCCCAGGGTCCCTCATTCCCACAATCTGCTGTTCCCAGGGTCCCTCAGGAGGTCCTTCCCATGTTCCCAGGGTCCCTCAGGAGGTCCTTCCCATGTTCCCAGGGTCCCTCAGGAGGTCCTTCCCATGTTCCCAGGGTCCCTCAGGAGGTCCTTCCCATGTTCCCAGGGTCCCTCAGGAGGTCATTCCCATGTTCCCAGGGTCCCTCAGGCCGTCCTTCCCATGTTCCCAGGGGCCCTCAGGAGGTCCTTCCCATGTTCCCAGGGTCCCTCAGGAGGTCATTCCCATGTTCCCAGGGTCCCTCAAAAGGTCATTCCCACATCCCACTGTCCCCAGGGTCCCTCAGGAGGTCCTTCCCATGTTCCCAGGGTCCCTCAGGAGGTCATTCCCATGTTCCCAGGGTCCCTCAAAAGGTCATTCCCACATCCCACTGTCCCCAGGGTCCCTCAGGAGGTCCTTCCCATGTTCCCAGGGTCCCTCAGGAGGTCATTCCCATGTTCCCAGGGTCCCTCAAAAGGTCATTCCCACCCGGATCCCAGCGCCAGGGCGGCCGGGATGTGGGGTCTGTGCTGGGCAGGGCTGCCCACCCGGCCCTTCCCCAGCCCCCCGGCGGGGCTCCCCGCTCGCCCCGAGCCCGGTTTGAAGTGGGCGGCCAAGGCCAGGATCAGCCTCATGGTGGATTTCAAGTTCCCATCGACAATATCTGTGGGATGAAGGATGGGGGGGGGTTAACGGGAGGCTCGGCCGCTCCTGACCCAGCCAGGGAAGCCCGGCAGGAGCATCATCCCCCCCCAAAGCACAGGGGGAGGGAACCCAAGCTCTGCCACAAACCAGCTCTGCACCCCCAGCTCAGAGCCAGGCCCCCCCCCACACCTTGTGCTGACGTCTGATGCATCCGGATCTTCTTGGATGCCACAAACTGCAGCACTTTGTCCACGTTTTCCCTCATCTCCTGCTGGCTGGTGGGGCTGGCCTGGATGCCATGCAGCTTCTCACCAGCTGAAAGGAGAGGAGATAAACCTGACCCTGGAGAAGAACTGCATCGATTCCAGCACCTCTGTTGTAAGTGCCAAACCTCAACAGACTCCCATTTATGATTTAATCACCGTTTCCTTCCCAAGTCCCTCCTCCCCAGCCCCCCACAAGCTCTGACACCATCACCAACATCTGCCAGGGGGGCTGACAGATGCCAGTGCCAAAGCAGCCTCTTCTACAGGAGATCTAAAGCTGCAGGGTGAAAAATAGTGCCAGATGGCACCACTGACCTACAATCTCAATGAGCAGAGCCAGAACGACTCCATCCCGGAGATCTTGTCTCAGGTCTTGGACTGGCTTTGCTGTTGGCTTCTTCTTCAGCTGGGAATTCACCCAGGCCACATATGTCTGTAGCTGTTGCTGGAAATAGACAACAAAGCGTTTGCACGTCACTGCCCTGCCGGGGGGGGAGGCAGCACAGCCCTGACTCTGTGATTCTCTTTCATCTGCATCCAGCTTGGTCGCCCTTTGCAAACCCTGGTGGGCTCAGCTGAGCCCTGGGCTGCTGCCCCCCCCGTGCCCCTGCAGGCAGCAGGGCAGGGCCCCTTGCTCTGGCACAGTTGAGGAGGAGCCTTTACATGGCTCTCAGCTCAGGCTGGTGCCCAACCCACGCTGGCATCCCCTCGTTTTCAGTGCCAGAACTCACAGCTTTTGTTATCCCACCCACGCTGTTTTCCTCTTCCAGATGTCAGGAAAGCAGAGGACTCCCAAGGCAGAAGAGCCCCAGTGTTGTTTCCCACTCAGCTGCACCACCTACCCCAAGGAACAACCAGGACAGGTCTCCTGGAGGAGACCACAGCTTCCCAGCACAGCTCCTGTGTCACAAACAGCCCCTGGGGCAGGGAAGAGGCTCCCTGTTGTGCAGCCCCCTTCCTCCAGCTCCTTGGAGCTGCAGCAGCAGCATTTCCAGTGGCCCAGTTTCTATTCCTGGAGCTGTGGGGAGCTGGTTTGCTGCTGCATTTAACACCTGCAAGACCTGGGAGCAAGGAGCACTGCCTGCCCAGCAGGTCCTGCTGGATGCTGCTCCACAGGCACGTGCCCACCAGGGGAAGACCAAGGGAAGCTGCAGCTTCTGGGCAGTGTGAGGCACAAGTGGCTGAAAGGCAAAGAGCATCTTCAGATGACCTTTCCATCCCCCTCCCAGGAGCACTTCCAGGAGCACTGGCAACACTGCAATCCCTTTGGGCAGGGCTGGAATGGTACATGGAGGGTAAACAAACTGATCCAGTTATGGGATTACCTCTCTTTTCACTAAGCTTCCCATTATTCTGCCCATGCAGCAGGTTTTAAGTCTCCATCCCATGTTATCCCAGCAGTGTCAGTCAGAGTTGATGTTTTTCCAGCCCATCAGAGCCACAGTTTGATCACAGCTTCACTCTTGATGCTCATGACACAGGAAATCCAACTTTAGTCCCACCACAGTGGGCTCTGCTGGCTCAGAAAGGTGCCTGGACCCGTGTCCAGCCAGTTCTGCCCCCTCAGCAGAGCAGAGGAGCCCAGGGGGCTGCCTCATGGCTTTTGGGAAAGAAAAGGAAGCAGAAGTGGCAGATGGGATGCAGGTTTCCTGGAGCAGCCCCAGCCTGCCAGGGGGTTGGACCTGCAAGCTCCTCTGTTGCTTCCCTGGCAATGTTCAGGGTCAGTTTTGCCTGCCCAGTTTCAGGGCTCTTTCCTACCCAGTGCAACCAGGCCCCATGGAGAACCAACAAGCCTTGACTTTATCCCTCCTGCCCAACCTCATCACCCTGTGGTGATTTCCAGAAGGGCAGTGGGAGCCCTTGCCAGCTGCAAACAGCCCCCCCACCTCTTCCAGTTCTGTTTCCACTGCTCACCAAGGGTCAGGCCCAACAGCCCAGGGCCAGCACAGCCACAGACCTCCTATTGCACTGCCTTGGTAAACTTTAATTTCTTCAAACAAGTGCCAGAGAGAAGAGGCAGGTCTGTTCACAGCAATCATTATAGGAAGATCTACATTCAGAACTAAAGATGCACCAAATGGGCTTGCAGCATGAAAACCACAACCTGAAGTCATTTAGGGAAACAATCTCATCCCAGTTGTGTTCCCTACCTTGTTGGCATTTTTCAAATCACTTTACAAAGGTCTAAATTATTCTGTGGCCCTAATTCCAGCAGGGCACAGCCCCTTCCAGCCTGCAGAAAATGTGCCATTTTTGTAAGAGTCTCTGTGGTTCTTCCATTCACTCTTGTTTTCACTCAAAAGAAAAAGAACAAAACAAAACACAGACCAGCTTGTTTTCTATTTCTTGCCTCTGAACCCTCTTCATGCCTCACCAGAGAACATTCTGGGCCAACTTTTAGCCTCTATCTCTGAAAAGCCTAAGAATGTTTACATTGTTATTATTAGGGGGAGAAAAAAAACACCTCCTAAATCCCAGTGCACTTACATTTTAAACCACGATTGTTAGAAGGGAGGATTTTGAGGCAGTGGAATGTGGATGTCACCATTCCAAAGTGATTCCACACCAGTGGCTTAAATTCCATTAGCAGACTTAGCTGTTTGGCTCACTGGTCTTGCCTTTTTTTTCCCCCACTCCCTCCACCAAAGCATCAGATTTTCCTGCAGTTCAGACACTTGGGCTGAGCAGAACTTCCTGATTTTGTATCCCCAAAAAAAACCCCAGAAGTTCTAAGGGCTGGGGCTGCAGCAGAGCTGGGAACCCAGGGAGCAGCCTGGCCCTGCTGGCAGCTGAGGGGGTGGCTGAACTTGCCCAGAAAACAAGAGATAAAAGTTTAGTGACCTAAAAAAAAGGCAAAAGCACTGTTAGCTGCAGGAAGGAACAAACCCCCCGAGCTGCTCAGCAGAAATCCCAGCAGCAAGTGGGGGGTTTTTTTTGAGCTAGAGTCAAAAATGCTTTGCTTCACCCCTCTCTGACTTCCCTGTCAGCTGATGGGAACTGGGCAATAATAAGGACACTGCAGGTCTTACCTTCACCCCCTTGATCAGTCCCAGACTCAGTTCAATGAGGCAGAACTATATTTAAAACCAAAGGAAACCCCTGGTTTCAGTCCCTCAGAATGTCATTTGCTCAAAGCCCCAGACACACCTCAGCTCCAAGCAGAACAGCCCTAAGTCCCCCCACACTTCCTACTTGGAGACACATCATTCCCAGGAGCTGCTCCAGGTATCTTCTTCCAGCACAGGGACCACCAAGATTTCCTAGGACTTGCCAGGGAACAGCAGCTCCCCACAGCCTGTTCCACCCCACAAAAATACCCCCTTGCCTCTGCGTGTCACTTCCCCACAGAAATCCACCCCAAACACAGGTTCCACCAGCACTCCTGCCACCATGTGTGCCCCAGCCAGGCTCCCATGGATCCCAGCTCAGTCAACAGGACTCCAAGGAGGAGAGCAAGGAGGTTGGGAACAGCCCAGGAGGCAGAGGGGACATCCCAGCAGTGCCCCTCCTCTCTTTTTCCAAGGCTGCCCCCAGGGAGCTTTCACCCAGGACAGGACATTTGGTGCCTTCTACATAATTAACAAACAGAGACACTAACCCCAGAGACAGAGCAAGGAGGAGAACAAACCCAGAGGATGAAAAGATGCAGAGGGAGCCCCTGTGCCAAGGAGGGCCTCGTGTTCCTGCTCAGACCTTGTGCTCCAACAGCTGCTGACATTCCTAGCACTGCTCTTGGCCTTTCTGTTGAGGAGCAAGACCCTCTGGGACCTGTCCCACCACCTCCTGGGATGCTCAGCTGTGCTCCTTCAGCTCCTCCAGCAGCTCCAAGAGGCTGGACACATCCCTAGAGCTTCCCCAGGTCAGTTCATAGCCTGGGATGGCTACACCCCAGAGCAGGGATGTGGGCTCAGGCAGGGAGCAGCTTTTGCTCTGCCTGGTTTATCCTCTTCCTTCATAAGAAGTGGATAATTAGCTGGATAATTCATCCATCAGCCTCTCAGGAGTTTTCTGGTCCTCCCTGCACTTTTGTCTGAGCCCCATCAGGGTTTTTTGCTCAGCCCCATCCCTGGGGCTCACCCTGCTCTGCTCCAGCTCTTTCCAACCCAGGGTTTCCAGAAGGAAAACGAAGCAGCCTGGTCTCAGATTCCCCACACAGAGCACAAGCCACGAGGCTTACAGTGGGGTTAAGCTTAATCCTATTTATATTAACACAGCTTTGTGTTCCAAAAAAAGGGCAGGTTTACCTGTGCCTTGCCGTGGGAAGAGCAGCTCCCTTACCTGGAAGGAGCTGCAGCCCAGGTTGCTTCAGCTCCCAGGCAGATCATTGCAGGGAGCTTCTCTCCAAGCCACTCTGGAAGCCTTGGGAGATTTTGAAGGGCAGGAGAAGGTTTTTTTAAGCAAGATATTAGGGGCCACCTGCAGTTGGAAGGTGTTTCCCAACTTCTGCTGGCACCTGGCAGGGTAGCACTGCAGCTCACACAGCACAGCCCCCAGCAGGAAAAAAAACTGGCTCCCTTTTCCAGCAGGAAAGGGCCCCCTGACCCACTGGCTGTAGGAAAACAGCCCCAGACCTCAGGAGCATCTATATATCCTGATGCCTCCAATGCTACCCAGGAGGAAAACACCTTTATTCTCAGCAGCTTTAACCCCTTACTGATCACCCCAATGAAGTGTCATTATCTACTATTTTCCACAGGTGGAAGAGAAGCAGCAGCTCTGCTGCAAATCTCCTGCCAGTGCCCTTGCTGCTCTCAATGCCCCAGTGCAATTCCCCAGCTGCTGCCCAGGGCTCATGTTTCCCCCTTCCCACCCACCCCTCAGGCCAGCCCAGCTGGCAGCAAATGCAGGCAGGTCCCACCTTGAGGTGCTTCTCTCTCCTCTATCACCAGGGCACCTGCTGCACAAGGTTTGTTTTCACCTCCTCTGAGCTTGGGCTCAGCTGCAAGTTTTGAAGTTGATCAAGTCTCCATTCCTGGACAAAATCATTCCTGGACAAAATCATTCCTGAGCCTGCAGATGCCTTCAGAGAGCCTGACCTTGCTCTGCTCCAGGAGGCTCCCATGGCCCTCCCTGCTCCCAGGAGGAGATTCCTTTTCTCCATTCATGTGATGAACTCGAATCTCATCCTTATTGTTGCATTAATCAGCCTGGAAGAAGAATTTTTCTCATCATCTTTGCTTTCCCTCCATGCCCTGTGGATTCTGCCCAAGCACCAGGACTAACAAGGTCAGGAACAAAAGCCCTCATGCTCTGAGGTTGGTCCCAGCATGAAAGGCATTAAGTGTCCTGCCTGTCCCCAATGTCTGTGGCAGCAAAGCTCAAAGGCCACCCTAATTGCATCAGGATGTCATGGTTAAGGGCCTGTGTGATTTCTGAGCTTTCTGACATTACCTTAATTAGATGGGAGCTGTAATTTTCCATCCAGTGCCCCTCCAGCTCCATTTT